CATGGCTTTTGGCATACTGCAGTCGACTCTTCTTATTCTTTGGAGACAGCAAGGGGGTACGCCTGGGAGTTCTGGCACGGAGGCCTTCATTACGCAGTGTGCGTCTTATTGTCTGGGCTGAAACTTCTGTACCCACATCTGACAAATCTTTTCTCAGTTCCTCAGCAGTCACACGGGGACTTCTCTCTCACTCTACGCTTCAGGTAGCGCACAGCAGTCGAAGTCAGCATTTCTTTCTGCCACGACCAGGTAGCGTTTCAACACAATGCCCTTTGCCTTGAATTTGCGAATGATGCTTCCTAAGGTGTCTCTTGGTATGTTTAACATCTTTGCAATCTTCTTATAGCCATTGCCCTTCCTGTGAAGAGAAATCACCTCTTCTCTTGTCTTGCACCCTGGACCATTCTCTTGCCTTCACCATGTCACAGAAACCACACCAGTAAATGTCTAGAAGGAGCTGAGTATCACAGTCATTTTAAAGCTGCCTAATTGGTGCTTATTATGCTTGATTGCTGCTCGGTGACATCCACAGGTGTTTTTCAATACCTGATGGAAAGCACCTGTATGAACCTCTGTTCTTCAGAGTGGTAGTCTTTAAGGGGGTTGAATAATTGTGGCAATGAAGAAAACCACATAAGAACCCATTTACTACTGTATTACATAAACAATTGATGTCATTTTAGTTGCATTTGGGTAGTTACAACGTCCTTGTAGGATTTGATTCTGAATACAATTCCAAATGTACACTATAGTCCCTAAACCCCTTTACAGCATTGGGGGTTGAATAATTTTGGTCACAACTGTATATATAAAAGTATTCAGACCCCCTTTACTTTGTTCAGTTTTGTTATGTTGCAGGCTGATACTACAGTTGTTTAATTTTTCATTTTTTTTCTCATTACTCTACACTCAGTACCCCATAATGACAAAGTAAAAAGAGAATTTGATAAATCTCTCTGAATTTATTAAAAATAAAAAAAACTGAAATATCATATTGGTCAAAGTATTCAGACCCAGGGCTGTTGTTATAAACTATGGGGCCCTAAACAGCCAACCTGAAAGCTGCCCCTCCTCCATGGTCAGCAGAGGTAAACGTATAGTGCACAGGGGAGGGCGGTAGGTGCAGTGGGGGGGGGGGGGGGGGTAATTACTGAAACCAATCCCCTGTATGGCTCTCTGCAGCAGCTAAAAGCCAGCAGGAGGGAGAGGAGAAGAAGTCAATGTTCAGCTGCTGCAGAGAGCCATACAGGGGATCGGATCCAGAAATGCCCACCCCCCGTTATGTCCATCTCCTTCCCTGCCCACATCTGATTCACCCAGCTGCCTGGGCCCCCCTGCTGGTCTGGTCCCCATACAGGAGGACTGGTGGTACCCCCTTATCCATGGCCCTGTTCAGACCCTTTGCAAAAACACTTGAAATTTTGAAATTTAATTTAGGTGCCTCCCATTTCTGTTGACCATTGCTGAGATGTTTTCTACACCTTGATTGGAGTCCATCTGTGGTAAATAATAATGATTGGATGTGGTTTCTCTATAAAAGGCCTCACAGCTGACAAAGCATACTGTATCAGAGCAAAGCCATGAGGTCAAAGGAACTGCTTGCAGAGCTCAGAGACAGGATTATTGCAAGGCACAGATCTGGGGAAGACTACAAAAAATAATCCTGCTGCACTGGAAATTCCCAACAGCACAGTGGGCTCCATAATTATTAAAGGGAAGAAGTTTGGCGCAACCAGGATTTTTCCAAGAGCTAGTCGCCCAACCAAACTGAGCAATCTGGGGAGAAGGGCCTTAGAAAGAGAGGTGACCAAGAACCTGATGGTCACTCTGACTGAGCTCCACAGATCCCATGTGGAGATGGGACAAAGTTCTCGTAGGACAACCATCACTGCAGCCCTCCACCGACCTGGGCTTTATGGTAGAGTGGCTAGATGGAATCCTCTCCTCAGTGTGAAACACAGGAAAGCCCAATTGGAATTTGCAAAAGGTTTCTTTTTTTTTTCTGCAACATAACAAAACTGAAGGCAGTGAAGGGGTTCTCAATACTTTGTGAATGCATTAATATAAAATACCATATGTAATGGTGTGTATCCCATGTACCTGCAGGCATCTACATCTGCTAAATATCAGCACCTCCTCACAGCTGCTGGATATCATGCTTATCAGTTTTCGTTCAGTACTGCGAGAGTTAACTGCAGCCACTGCTGCTGAGTAAAAGTTGCACCACTTAGCCGCTTCTGCCCTTTCCACCATTCACAGAACGCACATTACTACAATCCATCAATGCATCGTGCTCTGTGAATGGAAGAGGATCAGCTGAATTGCAGGTCTCCCCTGCATATTCACAATACAGGATGCATTGTGGGATTGAAGTGCGACATGTTGTGTGGATGGTGGAGAGAGCAGAAGGGGATGGGCCAGCGGCACAACTTTTCTTGGTAGCAGTGGCTGCAGTTAACTCTCTAGGAGCTGGAAGATAGCTTCTGTTCTGTGGATGCGTGAAGGTAATGGGATACACCATTATACTGTAAATACCTAATATCCCCATATATCTGGCTCTGTATCCCCCCCTAATATATATATATATATATATATATATATACTGAACTTCAGCTTTAAGACTTCCTCATTGGTGGGTAGGAGGCCATTGTGACACAGGCACATAAATCTTACTGCTGGACTCTTCAACAGAAATAGACACCCAGGGGATGATGTGGCCAAGCAGAATCTAACTAAAACTGTTGTATATCAGTTTTTGTTAGACTAATTCTATGCCTCTGCAAATTAAACAGGGTTATGTAGTAAAGCTGTACATAGGTCATTAAATACATCTGAACCCAAAAACAAGTTATTATATTGCAACTTGCTAGTCTTTAGATGTGGTGGCTGCATTAGTTTTCTTTTTTACTACAAATACAGCAAAAATATCTGTTAATCCTGCCAGAAATCTAGTATCCTCGTACCTGCTTTGGATTTACTTTCTCAATCTAAATTTATATCTCAAACAATATTATCAGCTTTCTAAGCCATCTTCTGTGAGCTACAAAGCAACACCCCTCTATGAAATGGAGATGGTTGGGTAGGTGTTAATAGTCCAAGTCAGGAGAGCAGCCTAGGGTGACAACGCTTCTATGCATGTAGATACAGTGCTGGGAATGATTGTTGCCACCATGTCTGGGGACTGATAGGCTGCAATGTATTACAGTTTTGTTTTTTTGGGTTTAGATAACATTTAATAATAAGGTGTCAATCGTATTTTAGTTTGCTACAATCTGACCAGCAAAAATATGAATTCTGATTACTATTGATTATGTCAGTGCACTTTGTACTCAATGACGGCGCATTGTGTGGAAATATAGTTAGGCCTGGTGTTTTTCTCATGGATCGGGTCCCAAAAAGGGACAGATGGGGATGGGGATCCAATTCCCCTTCTGTCCGTCGGATTGGATGAAAATGGACAGGCAGTCCGTTTTCATCCGATCTCCCATTGAGGAAAGCGAGCAGCTCTGTGTTTGCTCTGCAGCAGTGGAGGGGGCACAGAGCTGTCATCTACTTGCTCAGCGGGGATCAGCAGAGATCCCCTGCTCAGCAAGTGGATTCACTAAGCGTCCTTTCACACAGGCGGTCCATTTTTTTCATCAGTTCAGTTACTGTATTTTCGAAGAAAAAACAGATCGGTTCACATCAGTTCACATCAGTTTTTTATCAGTTTACATCCATTTTTTATCAGTTTACATCCATTTTTCATCAGTTTACATTTGTTTTTTTACATCCTTTACCAATGCAAAAACAGACCATATGTCCATTTACATCCGTTTTTCATCGGTTCCGTTTTTTTTTTTTTACGGAAGAAAAATAGGGTTTTCTTCCATTCAAAAAAACAGATGTCAACGGATGCGGACATTAACGGATGTAAATGATGGATGGTCATCCGTTTACATCCGCTAGTCCATAGAAATACATGGGTGTCCGTTTTTCACCCGTAAACAAACATCTGAAAAACGAACATACGGAATGCCCAAAAAGAACACTAATTGGTATTTTTCAAGCACTTAAATTGTACAATATAATTATAATTGTTTTACTGACAGGCATGTTTGAGACAGCTGCATCCCGATCCATTTCCTGCTTCTCCACATTTCTCAGCTGCTGCAAAATGACAGTTCAAACAAGGAAAGCAGGCACAGGTGTGAAAGATTACAGGTATATGCCAATTACAAGTTCACTGCTGGTTCAGAAAAAAATCCCTTTCACCATAATTGAGCAATATGCAGAATGGATGCTGAGCGCTAAACTTTTATTTTGTGTTGCCCATAGCAAGCAGTCAGGATCCAGTGCAAGTTGAAATTGCCCACACTCACGCCAATACACATAAAAACAGCAAGACAGATTAAATATTCTCTCTTTATTTTCAACAGGCTTTGATAGGCCTTAAAGACTTCACATTTGGAGCCAACTATCCTTCAAATCACAATAAATCCATATATTCTTCATATAATATTAGCTGCATAGATACTTCATTTTACCAAAAACTCTCATCACCCACATTTTTTTCAATAGTCTATTATTTTATAGAAAAAATATATTTCCGCGACATAGCGGATGTGTTAAATGGCTGTGACTGTTCACTGTCCATAGCTGCTTGTAATTTCAGCATGTCATGCTGGTCCATCGGAACATATGTCTTCTAGGTAAGATGCCCCAACATCTGTAGAAGCTTGGTGGCCCTAGTATGGCATCAGGCACTCTGCACCAGGAATAGGCAAAAAGGAGGTCTCGGTCCCCCATGCCCTCTTTTTTCCATCACTACTAGTCTTTTTAAGTCATTCTTAAGACTGGGACCTATCTACAATGCAAAATCCCACAAAAAAAAAAAAACGTGACTGACTGTAGCTCAGCAAGACAAAGTCTCTGATATACCTCAGGTCCACTTTTCATTTTAAAGGGCTGTTCAGCTATATTTCTGGTAATAACTGAAGAAGTTTAGTCATTGTAAAACGTCATAACAATGTCTCTGCCCGTTCCCAAGGTGGACATTCGTACAAAACGTCTTCGGCATAGCCATTCTCACTGTACCACTGTTCTGCCACAGGTTCTTCCTTCAACTCTTGCCAAGTTGGGTGGTGTTCAGGAATCATAAACCATTGGCTATCCACTATGGCAGGGTCTTGCTGGGCCAGTTCCAGTCCAGGGTTGGTCACTACTGAGGCATTGGGTCCAGAAGAGCCCATATCTCCCTCCCACCACATGGATATTAGGGCGGTCTGCAGATCGAGGTCATCAAAGTTGCTGCCATTCAGAGGATCTTCAGGAGGAAACAGGTTGTCTCCATGTCTTTCAGGGACTCTCAATGCTGGAAGAACAGGATTGGCTTTTTCTTGTCTCCGAGGCTGCTTGTATCCGCAAGAGGAACGCTGGGTTTGGTGGTTGTTCACTCGAGAGGATGTTTGGTAGGGATGGTGGAGTGTCACCTTGTTGCATCTCGGAGGGTCAAGGTGAGAAGCTGGCATCCTTCTCCTCTTCAAGACTCCGTTTACAAACATATCTGCATAACGGGGGTCCATCTGCCAAAATCCACCCTTTCCAGGTTCATCTTTTCCCCGAGGGACCTTCATGAAGCATTTGTTCAGGGACAGGTTATGACGGATAGAGTTCTAAAACACAAAGCAGAAGAGTAAGAATTGCAGTAGGTATATGGATATAACCACAGCCAAAACATTTTCTGGATAAAGTGGGGAAGGCCTGGACCCTCTATCAGGTATTCATTAAGTTTGAATCCTGTTTGAAAAGAATTCCCCTGTTTTCTGAATTCCTAACCCAGCGACTATTGCTGTTCCAACAAGTGGGAAATTTCACCTCAAGATTGTAGACAAAGGGGAACAAGCACACAACAACCCTCTACATGTTTGGAGGCAGTGGCCACTTCATCAGGATGAACAGGGAATGTACATTATCTGCAAAGGAGCCTATCATTACTCAAAAGAACACATACAACACCGATATATGAAATATACAATAAGGTTCAACCAACAGGAAGACTGGAAACAGAGGGGTGCTAGATAGGGCTTACCCAAAGCCAGAGGACAACTGCCAGGTCAAAAGGCAAAGACCCAAATGTTGGCATTGTATGTGTACGTTTGCTCCTTTTCAGATACTGTATATTCCCTGTTCCACCTGATGAAGAGGCCACTGCTGCGAAACATGTAGAAAGCTGCTGTGTGCACATTCCCAATCTTGAGGTGGAGCTCACTCCTAAGGAGACTCAAGTCATCCAAAATAGGGAATTATATCACATAATAGAGGGAAGGTTTTTTAATTGATTTTAATTATGTGCTCTTTCAAAAACTTTTTTAGAGTCTTGTAATAAATGTTGACATTTTACATATTGTTTGTCTCTTGTTCTTGGGGTACCGAGGAAATCAACTTTTTTTTTCTGTTTCTATATTCAATTTGTGAGGATGTGGTACCCAACCCTTAGTGTACTTGTTGGCACCTCATTCAATATGAAGAAGTAGGAAATTTCCCCGGTGGAGAAGCAGAAGCAAGCAGCAATAAAAATGTGACACAGGTGTAAATCCCTTGCAATTTTATTACTGTGCCCCCATTAAAAAGCATATTCTCCCCCACTTGGGTGATCACCATCACTGGCACAGGAAATAAGGCAAATCTCCCCAAACAAAAATCCAGATGGTAGCTGAAACCTGAAAGGAGTTCTAATCCTTTCCACACTGTGTTGTCAAAAGGTACAAGTCAATTTCCTCTATCCATTTGTCAACCTGCAGTTTATAAATGATAAATCGAGCCTAATCACAGATGAGCACTGTTTGTATTAAACTGGTCACTTTAGATAAGCCAAATGTTATTTCAAAAAGCATCATCTCTTCTTGGCTCTAACAGTCAGGCCCATGTGCAAGAAAAGAGTGTAAAAGAAAAAATAAATAATTCTTCCCATCATTACATCATGGGGCTAAACCCAAAAAACGCTAAAAATTTAAAATTTCCCCAGTTTTTCTACAAATACTCTGCGAAGAGGGTGAGCACTGCACTGGGATTATTAGGGTGTCGTGTTTGGAGCAAATCGGTTGCTTCCTCTAAATTTGCCAATTATTTTTTTGTGATTTCAACAGCTACTTGGTAAAACCATGAGTCGGCTTGTAAGTAGAGTTCTGCTTAGGGCCTCCCAAACAAAAAGTCCCTTTGAATGTGACAGACAGAAAGTTTAGTTTGAGACTTGTTATGGGCCGTCATGACAGCAGATAAGATGGCACCAAATGGGAATGGGAGGGGGTTTGGTAGCAGAAGTAATAATTGTACAGCTGAAGGGTCCTAAAATGATTTTGCTATGACGTCCGGTCGTTTATTGTTAAACTCCCATCTTGGGTATAACTTGCAAAGATACATTTGATTGTTCCTCACTAAATTTTAAAGATTCTTAAAAATTGAAAACCAACATATACACAATCCCATACCCACAGCTGACCCAGAGTAAGGCAAAAATAACCTGGAAAGCATGATCCGATTTGCTATAGCATGGGAAAAAATTCCTTCCTGATCCCGCTGAAGGTTTTAGGATAACTATGAATAATATATTTAGTCAAGGACTTTAGATTGATGTGAACTGAGTGTGTTCCTAAGATACTTATCAAGAGCTCCCTCTTTGGAATATATGTGCTATGACTACCTTGACTACTATGCTGTCTTTATGGTGATTTAGGCCCCATTCACACCTGAGCGTTTTGTAGTGCAAAGCTCCAAAATGCTCAGAGAAAAAAAAATCAATATTACTCTATGGAGATGGTTCACATCTGCACTCTAATGCAGGCCATAGATGGGTCGAAAATCGGCCGAAAATAAAATCGGCCGATTTTCGGATCGTTAGCGGGCTAATTGTTCGGCCGATTTTCGCAGCAATGATGGGCAAATCAGCCGATCTTTTTACCGATAAAAAATTCTGCGCATGAGCCAGTGACCTGCAAGAGGAAGACAAAAAGAAGAGGAAAAAGAAGAAGAGGATGAAGAAGAAGCAGAAGAAGAGAAGAAGAAGAAGAAGAGGATGTAGAAGAGAATGAAGAAGAAGAGGAAGAAGAGGATGAAGAAGAAGAAGAGGATGAAGAAGAGGAAGAAGAAGAAGAGGATGAAGAAGAGGATGAAGAAGAAGAGATGATGAAGAAGAAGAGGATGAAGAAGAAGAGGATGAAGAAAAAGAAGATGAAGAAGAAGAAAAAGAGGAGGATGAAGAAGAAGAGGATGAAGAAGAAGAAGAAGAGGATGAAGAAGAAGAAGATGAAGAAGAGAAGAAGAGGATGAAGAAGAGGATGAAGAAGAAGAAGAGGAAGAAGAAGAAGAGGATGAAGAAGAAGAGGAATTCCAGTCCGGCAAAAAGTGTCCCTGCAGAGAGCTCTGCTATTTCTTTGACAGTTCCTTGACATTTATAGCGGTTGCAACAAAGTATCTATTTGTTTTTCCGAATAAAAACATCTGTATCCTAAATGAATACAAATAGATACATTGTTGCATCCGCTATAAATGTCAAAGAACTGTCAAAGAAATAGCGGAGCTCTCTGCAGGGACACTTTTTGCCAGCTGTAGACGGGATGAAAATCGGCCAATTTTTTTTACCGTTGCTGGTAACGTCGGCTGCTTGAACGACCGATTGTTTGTTTTTTAAAAGAAAAATCGGCCGATATTCGACCCATCTATGGCCTGCATAAGTCACCTGAAGGAGAAAGCCTGAAGCTCAATAAAGTTTTGGAGCTACTTCTGTAGCTCCATTCAGGCAGATTGATGCGTATTTGGGGATGCGTTTTCATTCCCATAGAAATACATGGAAATACGCAAATAATATGTTTTCATGTGCTTTCACGGATTTTGTTGCGCGCAAGATCATCTTTCTGGCATGGCAACAATTGATGCCACAGATGAAATTTTTATTTTGGCTAATACAAAAACGCCAGAAATCAAAAAGCTTGAAAATGTGTGAACAAATCACGCACAAACGTTTGCAAAAGTGCATAAAAACGTGCAAAAATGCTATGTCAGGTATGAATGGGGCCTTGCTTACGTTGGGTCTGAATGGTTCTCCATTGGGAAGTTGGTCCTTTTATTTTAAGATCGTGTGTACAAGACCATTGGCTGTTTACTGAATGTACCTGAAATTCCCACCTGAGAGGCAGTGGCTTCACCTAGGCTTACCAATTTGCACCTCCATGGGCAACATGCATATGTTATGAATCCCAGTCTACCCCACTGGCTGATATTACTCTATTAAAGTATAGGAGTGGGTTTCAGTGTGCTGATTCTGTCACGTTTCCTGAAGAAGGATTCCCAAAACGCGTCGAGTCCACATGTGAACTGTAATCGGAATCTTTGGATGTTATGAACCCCTATGTGGGGAGTAATTTTTATTGTCATGTAGTAGATTTGTTAACCACTTGCCCCCCCCTGAGGATTTACCCCCCTTCCTGACCAGGCCATGTTTTGCATTACGGCGCTGCATTACTTTAACTGACAATTTCACGGTCATGCAACGCTGCACCCAAATGAAATTTACGTCCTTTTTTTCCTGCGAATAGAGCTTTCTTTCGGTGGTATTTGATCGCCTGTTCATTTAAAATTTTTTACTTTTTGCTATTATACATGTCCAGTAAAAAAAATTAAAAAAATCTAAATTCGTCATAAATTTAGGCCAAAATGTATTCTTTGCGACATTTCTTTGCAAAAAAAAAATCCCAATACGTGTAAATTTATTGGTTTATGTGAAAGTTATAGCGTCTACAAATGGCAGTATATATACTGGGAGATTTAATTTTTACTAGTAATGGCGGCGGTCATCGACTTAAAACGGGACTGCGGCGGGCATTCTGACACTGGGGGGAACTGACATCCCCAGTGACACCAATACAGTGATCAGTGTTAAAAAAAAAGCACTAACACTGTACTAATGGCACTGGGCAGGAAGGGGCTAACATGAGGGACGATCAAAGGGTTAACTGTGTGCTGTTTTATATATTATTATTATACAGGATTTATATTGCCAACAGTTCGCTCAGCGCTTTACAATATAACGGGAGACAATACAGCAACAATACAGTTCAATACAAGAGGGTTAGGAGGGCCCTGATCCTGGGAGCTTACAATCTAGGATAGTGCTGTGTCTGTGTGCTTCACTGTAAGCACACTGGTTTGCATGGCTGTGCTGGTGTGAGGGCGTCACAAGGGAAATATCTCACAGTTCAATGCAGTCAGAGATGGCGGTGGAGAGATGCCGACAGCGTCTGTTTCAGAGGAAGAAGTGCGGTCCAAGGAGGGGAGACTTCTTCCAGGAAGCAAGCCCCTAGCCTTCCCTCCTCATCAGGAACCTTTCCCTTCTGCTGGTTACTCATCCTAGCAATTGGGGTATCTCTCCCTACAATAGCCACTCGCAACAAAGCGTGCCAAAACCCAGGAACAGGGACCTAAATAGACCCTGCTGTCCCAAGATGGCCACCAAGGGTCACATGGCCACAGCACAGCCAACCAGAATGCTGCTACAGTGACCCAGGAAACCACAGAGAAACGATGTTTCCTACAGACGTTCTCTCCAGACTGAGGTACCACTCAGGTCGAGTGTCACCTACAGTGGGGAAAACAGATTGCACCTGCCTACACGCATGAA